AGGACTGAGGCTCAAACCTGAGTCCATCAGTCACAGGACAGCCACATTACACACTGCTTCACAGCCACCTCGTACTTTTAAACTAAATGCTTTTTCTGTCCTTTAGGCCCTGAAAGCCATGGTGGAGGCCAGGTACCAGGAGATGAAGGAGAAAGCTAAGGCCAGCATTGAGAAGGCAGCAGCTGTGAGTCTGACATCAGATATGTGGACCTCTATCAACACAGAGGCCTATCTCGCTGTCACCTGCCATTTTGTTGATGAGTCCAGCACATTAAATACAGTTGTTTTGGGAGTGCAACATTTTCCCAAGGCGCACACTGCAGAAAATATTGCACAAGTGAAAGGCTCACTCATGAGGCAATGGGCTATTTCTGAAAAAGTTACATGCCTTGTAACAGATGGGGCTGCCAATATGGGGGCTTGTGCAAGGGAGCTACGGCTCAAACATGCCATATGTGTAGCTCACACCCTTAACTTAGTGGTGAAGAAGGCCCTTGACCAGACCCCTGAGCTGAGCCAAGTCCAGAGTGGGATATTTCAGGAGCAGTACCACTGCAAAGGTAAGTTCTGTGGCTTAATTACAGTTTCTTTAATGCTACTTGTGTTTATAGTTCTGCTGCCTTGACAATGTAATGAATGCTTTTTTAATTGTATTTTTTAAGGAGAGACTTGCAGTGGTGCAGGAACAATTGGAGAAGCCTCAACTCAAACTTATTCAGGAAGTGGAAACCCACTGGAACAGCACTTACAATATGCTGCAAAGACTGTTTGAGCAAAGAGAGCCAGTGGGTGCTGCTTTGGCAAGTCTCACAACAGACATCTCACCTATTTCATCAGAGGAATATGGCATGATTTCCGAGTGTCTGATTGTCCTAGGACCATTTAATAACGCAACCACCGAGCTCTCTCAGGAAAAAAGGGTGTCTGGCTCAAAGGTCATACCTTTGCTTGCTATGGTGGATCATTGCCTCACTGAAGAAACGGAAAAACCACCATCCATTGGGTCTTCTCTGGCTGAGAAACTGAGGATGCTCTTGAGAGAGAAGCTGGATAGGATCTAAACCATGAGCATTATGTGCCTTGCGACATTACTGGACCCAAGGTTCAGAAAAAGTTTCTCAGCCCTGCAAGAGCAGGTGAAGCAGAAAAAAGACTGAAAGCAGAATGTGCTTCCATAATGAGGGCCACCACCACCTCCTCTTCCTCCTCACCACCACCACCACCACAGCCATCAACGTCACAAACTGTTGAGGCTGTTTCCCAAGGTACTACTGTTATTCCATTTGAGTTGCATTTATATGAACTGTTAAACTCACAAACAACTCTTCTTATTTCTTAGGTAACAACCTGTGGCGTCGCCTGGATGACAGCGTCAGGCAAACACAAACACAGAATGTGATAGCAGACGCAGATATTGAGGTCCAACGCTACATGATGGAGCCAAATATTGGAAGGCTGGAGGACCCCCTTCAATACTGGGAGAGACAGAAATATGTCTATCCCCATTTATATAAGTTAGCAGTGGCATTCTTGTGTACGCCTGCCTCATCTGTGCCCTGTGAGCGGGTGTTTTCCAAAGCAGGAGAAATATTGTCAAAAAAAATAAATGGCCTAAGACCTGCCACAGTGGAGAAACTGTTGTTTTTAAATAAAAACCAATGATGTGGCCCCTAAACCAAAATCACTGGCCATACCTCAACGTTACAAAAGCACAATCATTGTCCATACCCCAACC